CCCCCCGCCACCATGTTCTTGGTTTTTGTGGTTTGCTGTCCTGCGCTGGGTCCAAGACTCTCCATCTCACAGCACTCAGGGATTTGCTGTGTCCTGCGGCGTCTTTGATCAAGCTACAGAACCTCTCCCGGCCTCAGTGTCCTCTCCTATGAAGGAAAATTCAGGGCATTGATTGCACTGGTCTATTTTGAGGATGAAATGCAATGAAGCAGGTCAAGCCCTAATCAGCACCTGACACCTGAGAAGCCATCACAGGAGCTTTTACTATCATCATTGTTGCTTTGCTCATTGTCACCCCCAGGCAACAGAGCTGCCCCAGCTACCCTGGTCTTGTAAGGCTAGCCCTCTGCACACTGATGAGGGGCTCCCGTCATGACCTCCAGCTTTGATGGACACAGCCTCCAGGGTGCATTGTGCCAGGGACCCCAGGGAACCATGGGGTACACCTTCATGGGCTGCTAGCCCTTGGCCTGGCACCTGCCCCTGGCCTCCTGCTACTGGCGTCAGCCACACCCAGGCTTATAGTGAAGCATGGTGAAGTGCAGGAGTCAGAGACCTGGGCGTGGGCCACATGAGCATTTCAGGCAAGTCACTGGACCACTCAGAACCTCAGGTTCTCCATCTGTATAATGAGACTAGTCCCTCCCTCTTACTGATGATCATAGCCAAGGTTTGAGGTTTGCATGAGCTGGAAAGACCTGTGTTCAACACAGTTAGGTTCCTTCCATACACCTACCCCACCCCCATTGACCCCTGCCTTTATGTCAGGGACCTTGGTCTAGCCTTGAACCAGGGAAGCAGAGTCTTGATCCCATCTTTTCTCTGCCTCCTGTCCCAAACACCTTCAGCCTCAGGCTATCCTAGGTCCTGTGTTGAATCAGGTAGCAGAAAGATGGGAAAAACTCACAAGGGAGGGTCACGCGCTTCTGCACACCATTTGTCTTTTAATTAAAAAGAAAATAGGAAAACCAAACAACACTTCCAGGTGTGGGTGATAAAACATCACAGGCTTATAACGTAGGTACAAAAACAAGAGCTGCTTTAAAAAACCCCCTGTGAGGGAGACGGAAGACCCCTCCGTTGAGGTCACTGTTTTCTCAGTCAGACATCCCCGGCGCCTGGGCTACAAAGAGAAATGCCTACTCGGCCATGTTTCTCTAGGAAGACTCAGCACCCCAGCTCACTGGACCACGACACACATGCGCAGGAAACTGGACTTTACAAAATTCGCAAGTGGGCAGCACTGGGGTGGGAGGTTTAGGAGGGTATGCCCTACTCTTCTCGATGACCCCTGGCTCTGTTCAAGGTCTCTGTCAGGAAAGAGACACCCTACACTGCAAATGCTAGATACACTGTCCTCTAGGGACACCTGGGCTGGGATTCCTGAAGTCCACTGGTGGGTTCTCTCCTTGAGTCGTGGCCAAAAGAAGGTCTTGCAGACAAATTGGGACAAGCAGAATAAGGACAGACCAGGATGAGTCAGGCCTGGGCTGGAGCTTATTTTGATGGGCAACCAGAAGGCTCTGGGGAGATTTTGTATAGTTGCCACAATCAGATTCTCACTGACTTCCTTAGTTAGCTGCTCCACCAGTTCCTTCATCCCTGCCTCCTTTGGACCCATCTTTAGGGGTCACTCAGATCCAGATTCCACTTCTTGCCCTGCCATTTCCTAGCTTATATGACCTTGTAAAATAATTTCCTTGAGCCTCAGTTTCCTCATCTGTTGAATGGGAGAGGTTCACATGAACCTCACAGGGTGACTGTAAATAGTGTGACCTCACCCTCCGAGAACATGCACCCAGCACAGAATATGCCCAACAGATGGCCACCATCATTACTGTCATCCAGGCAATGGTGGATCCACTGCAGAGTTGGTGAGTCTGTGTATAGACGCAATTGTGATAAACAGAAGGTTTGAACAACGTTCTAGGAAGAACGTTGCATTCCTCTGGGCTTCAAGTTCAGAGGTCTTGGGTCATGGCTTGGGGAGGGGAGCTGGCCTGGAAGACACAGTTGCATTTCTCTCTGGCATGTCCATGAGGCCCAGGAGCTGTTCCAACCTAGACCTCGGTGCCTTCCCTGGGGTAGAGGGTGCTGTTGGAGTTGATGCTGTTGTAGAAGTGAGGGCTGAACTGGTTGAGGACCGAGCCACCGTAGCCCAGAGGGTTGGTGGGCATGGGGTTGGCCCACTCGCCCCCGCCCCCGTGGCCACCGAGGTTGGTCAGTGGGGTGTAGGAGTTGAAGCTCAGTGAGTTCTGCCCCATCTTGTCGGTGGGCTCGGGGCTCAGTGCTGGAGTGGCCACAGGGCGGCCCATGGGGCTGGAGCCGCTCACACAGGCTGTCATGGTGGAGAGGAAGCTGCTGAGGCACGGGGTGACTGAGGGTGGAGGGGAGGACCGCTTCCCTGGGGAGCTGGTGGTGCCCGGCGAGGCTCTGTCCAAAATGTCCTGAGGCTCTGTGGTCGTGGGGCTGCCCGCCAGGAGAGTGTTCTCAGTTTTCTCTGAGGTCAAGGAGCCTGTGCTAGAGGAGACATCGGATTTTCTCTTCCTTTTCCTGCGGAAATTTCCATTGTCGAACATCTTCTCACAGTTGGGGTCCAGAGTCCAGTAATTTCCTTTGCCTGAAACAAAAGTGAGAGAGAGTAGGTACCTGGAGATGGGCAGAACGCCTTCTATGGCTCCTAAAAACAAGGGTGGCAAAGGCAGAAAGAAGAGAAGGAAAGCCTGGGACTGAGATATGGAGGAATGTCCCATGCCACCTACCCACACCCACCATCTTTGCTCATTACAGGTAGGAAGGGAGGCTGAGTGCTGGGTGTCCCTGGGGTTACAGGAGAGTCTATGGGTCATGGCGTGGGGAGGATAGGTGGAATAGTGGTCAAGAGCTTCCATGGCTAAAGTTGAAGAAAACTCAGGAAGAATTCAAGACTCCCTGAGTTGAGAGTCTTGGGCATGGAGTCTGAAGACAGAGTTGAGTCCTGGCTTTGCTCCTAACTTTGTGTGAACCTCAATTTCCTAGTCTGACAAATGGGCATATTGGACCTATCCCCACTTCCTGAGGCTCACCGTGGGAAGGACAGACACTAGGTGTGTTAAAGGGCCTTATAACCAGGAAGTGCCATTGGAGGGACAGCCTGAACTACTCCCGCTGTGGTGCCTTTGCTGGGGGGTTGGGGGTGGTCTTTGAATAGGACACTGGCCCTCTTCTGCAGGGAGAAACAGACCTGGCCAGTGCTAACTTCAAAGAGAGCAGAGCTGGGGTTTGTCTGAGCCCTACCCTGGCTTCCAATGGTGAAACAACGTGGACATTAATTTGGGGGAAATGGAGCCGTGAAGATTTAATACATTGCTCTGCAAGTCTCTGGACTTTGTAGAGCTTCATCTTTACAAAGCAAAATTCACAGCCTCTGCTGACAGACCTGCTTTCAAGATCAAGTCCAGCACTACCCTTCATCCTCTGTGACCTGAGGAGGCAAGCTATCTCAGCTCTGAATGTTATTTTCCTTATCTGTAAAATGGCTTTAATAGGAGCTACCCTGCAGGGGAGTTGTGGGGTCAGAGGAGAGTCTGTGGGTGGGGAGGGAGGCTGCACCATGGGGCCATTCACAGTTGCCCAGATAGGCCAGAGCTTCTGCCGGCAGGCTCCAGGCCCATTCACCAAAGGCTCCCTAGCTCAGGTGCTGGGGATGCCAGGCATCCTAACCACAGCAGCCAGTTAAGTATTTGTTAACATCAAAGACTCTGCCTGTCTTATCTCATTACCCACAAGACAAGTCACTAAGGGAGACACAGCCACTGTCCCTGTTTTTCAGATGAGGAAACTGAGGCTCAGAGAGCTAACCCTGCCCTGCCTCACTAATTGGAACCCACTGAAACCTAAATCTACCCTCTGGCCCACATTCTCCTCCACTGTTAAGCTCCCTCCAGCCCTGGGACCTGGCAGCCCTCGTCAGAACTTTCTAGAATGGGGTTTGGGCAGGATGGAAGGCGCCTTCTTTCGGGCGCAGGAGCTGGCTGCAGGGAGCTTCCCTGCCGGCGCTGGCAGCCCTCACCTGGGTCGTCCTCGTCCCGAGGCACCTTCTTGAAGCAGTCGTTGAGCGACAGGTTGTGGCGGATGGAGTTCTGCCAGCCGGCCTTGCTCTTGTTGTAGAAGGGGAAGTTGTCGGCCACGTACTGGTAGATCTGGCTCAGGGTGAGGCGCTTGTCGGGCGCCCCGTGGATGGCCATGGCGATGAGCGCCGAGTAGGAGTAGGGGGGCCGCACCAGCTTCATGAGCTCCTCCTGCGAGGGGATGGGCAGCCAGCCCAGGTCGCTGCCCCCCAGCCCGGGCATGCCGGGCAGCAGCTGGCGCTGCATGCCGTAGGCCTGGGGCAGGAAGGGGCTG